CCCCCCCCCCCCCTCCCCAAATTTCTGAAGCGTCCCAACCCAAAACATCAGCTTTCCTGCTCTGCTGCCTGGCCTGCTGTGTTCCTCCAGCTCTGCACTGATCAGATCCAACCTCTACACCTGGAAAGAGCATCTAAGCTTCAAACTGATGCAGTGCACATTCTCTGGTCCATCAATCCCTTCCTTCAAATGGGCTGCTTTGGCCCAGATAGTCCCCAGCCCCTTGTGTTCTGGTGACTGTACTCCCCCTATGCCTGTCTAGACAATACTAATGAGTTATCTGCTAGATAATGGACTAGCTTTGGGATCAGGAGATTGTGGTTATTCACTATGCATTGATTATTATGACTTGAGCTTTAATGGCAGATTGAGGCTTTTATCTAAACTGCTATTCTACTCAGGCAACAATACATGCAGAATTTAATGGCTTGCTGTCTTATCCCAGGGTCAGAGAAGACTGAAGAATATCTATTAGCAAGGTTTAAAGCTGATGGAGTTCGCTATAAAGCCAAGATAATTGGTGTTGATGATGTACCAGATGCCAGAGGGGATCAGATGTGCCAGGATTCAATGATGAAACTGAAGGTAATGCCTAGTCTCTTGTACCATTCCTAGACTCTTGTATCAATGACTAACTCCCAGTAGAGCACCAAGTCTAAAGGTTCCCAGAACAGGGGAGGTTGAACTGATCGAGGAAATGAAGTCCAGGCCCAAGACTGATTCTAGCACTTTCCTTTAACTTGATCCTTCCTGATGTCTACACCTCTTGGCTTGGTGTAAAGCTCTTTCTGGGCAGTGAAACAACCTTGTTTCACCAAGTGTCAAGTCTTCACTTCAAGTAGATGAAGAGCAAAGACTTGTTCTAGGGATGTGGACTGAATGGCCTCTAGAGGCCAAAGCACTTTTTTTTTTTTACAGCATTTGGGGACATCCTCATTGAGGAATCTAACTTTCCTTATCCTATTGGCCACCTCTGCCACTCTCTCAGAACCTAGAAAATAAGTACAGGAATAGGCCACTTGGCCCTGAGCCTGCACTGCCATTCAATATGATCAGGGATAGCAGAATCCCATTCCAGCCTCCTCCTCCCCCTCCCCTTTAGGTACAAGGCCCAAATCTAGCTCCCTTGTCAGTATATCTAATGACCTGGCCCCAACAGCTTCCTGGGGGAGAAATTCCAGTTTCACGCCTGAGTGAATAAATCCTTCCTCATCTGTCCTGAATGGCCGCCTCCTTCATTCTTAGACTTTGGACTCACAACCTCCCATCAACATTCTTCCCACATCTCAATCAGACTGGATTAGATCCCCTCATTCTAAATTCCAGTGGATCCAGTCTTTCCTCACATCAGTCCTGCTATCCTAGGAATCAGTCTGGTGAACCTTTGCTGCACTCCCTCAACATCCTTCTTCCAACTGAGAGCAAAACTGCACAATACTCAAGGTGTTGCCTCCCCAAGGCCCTGTATAACTGCAGCAAGACCTCCTTACTGTGATACTCTAACTTTTTTGCTATGAAGGCCAGCATGCCATTAGCTTTCCTCATCACCTGCATGTCAACCTTCAACTGTTTCATGACACCCAGGTCTCATTGCACCTCCCCTTTTCCTAAACTGCCACTATTCAGAATCTGCCTTCCAGCTTTTCCAACAAGTAGGTAACCTCATATCCACATGGTACTGTCTAAGTTAACCTGCATCCTCCTCACAGTACATGTTGCACCCAGCTTAGCATCTGCAAATTTGGATATGGCACTCAATTCTTTCATTCAAACTTGCATAAACATAACTCAGTTGAATTCCAGATAACAATACCTTGGTCAAATTGCTTTGAAACTCTGCTCCAATTTGCCCTGTTTATGCCCCTTAAACAGTGCCACAATTAGGCATCACTTTCAGGCATCTGATTCAAACTCCAGTCTAAACTCAATAGCTGAAGCAGCAATTTAATTCAACCTGTTTGTACACAGGACCTATTAAAGCCTCTTTGCACTTGACTTTTGAAATGTAGCCAGTTAGTCTAGCAATTGTAAAATAGCCTCTGACAGTCTAGGGCTGTTAAACTGGTACTCCAGTGCAAATTTCCTGACCATGTCTAATTGTTTTTGTTTCAAACCCCTTTTAGGGTATAGCAATAGCTGCCCGTGCACAAGGCCAACACAAGCAGAGGATTTGGGTCACTATCTCTCTATCAGGAATCAAGCTCATTGATGAGAAGACAGGGGTAAGTAACCCTCCTCCCAGTGGGATATCTGACTGTCCAGCTTTTCTAAAACTGGAAAGCTTCCTGAAAACTACAGGTTAATCCCACTAAGATGGGGTGGGCCATACTGGGTCTAGAACTGCCTCTTTGTCACCATCTATTGTAGTGGGGAAAGCTTGTTTAACATCAGCTCTGAAGCTCTAGTTCCAGGTGAGGAACACTGCTGAAGTTGCCACTGACACCCTGAAACTGAAAGATAAGGACATAATTTTGTGGGTGAACTTGCATAGATCTCAACACCCCAGTTTGGGGTGTAAACAATAACATTCCTTCAAAGGGTGACTACCTCATCCCATGTTGGAATTGGAACTGTCACAGAATTGTAGCTAATCTAGTTAATCTTCCTAATTTAGAAATATCCCCCCTCCAGTTGAGTGCAATTTTAACCTCTACCTACTGGATTTCTTTCAGGTGATTGAGTATGAGCATACTGTCAACAGGATCTCTTTCATTGCCAGAGATGTCACAGATAACCGTGCATTTGGATATGTCTGTGGTGCAGAAGGACAGCATCAGTTCTTTGCTATCAAGGCTGCCCAACAGGTAGAGTAATAGAATCCAAGAGGAAGTGCTGGGTACCTGAATCTGCCATGATCCATTTTGGCTGGATGGAATGTAGATAGAGTTCAGTTGTCAGCCTTGCTCAGCTCCTTTCCAATCATAAGCTAACAGCCAGCAATGCTACCTCAGCAACTAGTCAAATGGCCACATCTGCCTTGGAAAAGGGTAACTGAAGTGACAATTGCATAATGAATTGTTTGACAAGCCCATGGCCCTATGAGACTAGTGTTTCTAACTGGTCCCTCCCTCAATTTAAGGGGCAGACCTCAACTGTACTAGCTAGTATATGATTGGACTCCTATCATGCACAGTCAAGAGTAATACAGCATAGAAACAAGCCCTCCAGCCCAAACTGGCCCATGTACCCACTTGGCTAGTTCCAATTGCCATATCCTTCTAAACCGTTCCCGTCCATGTACTAAGTTTTAAATGTTGAAGCAGCTACAAAAGCAACCATTTTCTCTGGCAGCATATTCCAGATACATAGCAGCCTCCATGAAGTTGCCCCACAGGTCCTTTGATCTATCCCCCTCACCTTAAACTATGCCCTCTAGTTTTCAATTCGCCATCCCTGGGGAAAGGCTATATGCATTCATCTATCTATGCGCCTCATGATACACCTTCAATAAGGTTGCCCTCAATCCTGTATTCCAAGGAATAAAGTCCTATCCTGGCCAATCTCTCTCTCAACTTGGGCCTACTAGTCCTGGCAACATGTGCAAATCTGTTTTTGCACACTTTCCAGTTTAACTGTCCCCACCATAAGTGACCAAAACTAGACAATACCCCAAGGGTATTCTCATCAATGTGTGCAACTAGTGCAATGTCCCATCTCCTACTCTGCCTCAATCAACAAAGCTGCTTGCTAAATGCCCTCTTCACCATCCTGTCCTCCTGTGACACTGCTTTCAACAAAGTCTAGAGAGCAGCTGGTTATCCTTAAGAGGGGCACTTTAAGGTGAAGCAAGAGGCTTAGGGTGGCAAGTGTGGAATGTACTACCTCGGAAGGTAGTTGAGGCAGGAAGTGCTATCTTACTGCTTGGCTAAGCACTGATAAATCCAAGGCTATGGACCTAATGCTGGAAAGGGACTAGACTACTTTTTTGGCAGTATATACTCCATGGCCCCCTGTACTATGAATCTGCAGTTATTTATTTGTGGAATTTCCTCTAGGCTGAGGCACTTGTTGTGGATCTGAAGGATCTCTTTCAATTGGTCTACAATCTGAAGAAAAAGGAGGAAGCTGAGAATCAGTCAAAGGTGAGGAATGGGCTATCCTGTGCACTTCTTTGAAGACCACCCTCTGGTCAAATGACTAGATCAACACAGCAACTAGCTGCTAGAGCCACCACATCACATTCTGCTCACATCCCCAGGCATCAAAATGCCCCAGAACCAGTTGTCACTATTAGATTAGAGCAACTTTTAACCTTTAACAGCCAAAAGCACTACATCACCTTGAATCAGTAAAGTGCACTGGTCACCTGGTGCTCTTCAGATCTCTTAACCAGCAAAGTTCCTAGACACCACCAATGGTATCCAAGGAAGCTGTTTTTATCAGCAGACTACTTTGAAGCAGACCAGAAGTTTGGTTTCTTTAAACACTGCTGGCTCTTTGCTTGATAAGGAGTAATGATCAAATGAGATGCCAAGCTTCTTGGCTCCTATTGTCAGCTCCACAGCTGTGCCTTTCATACTAAATCTTACTGACTCCAGCTACCTACTCCCCAGTAAGCTAAATTGCAAACAAATTGATTCATTTCTGTAGCTCTTGAGCCATTCAGCTGCCTTAACCCTGTTATGCCTTTTTAGTTCATGACTGACCTCTCCCTGCCTGTTCCCCACACTGTTGCTGACAAAGTGCTAACTCTTTTCTTTCCCCTTCCATGCAAGGTGTTTAAAACAAAGCTTTGACTTCTACAGAGGTGTAGAGCTGGATGAACAAAGCAGTTCCTACTCTCTCTCCAACAACTGACTTCTACATCCTAGTTTTAACCTCACCACTGCCCCCCCAAAAACATTGAAGGGGGCCCTAATATTTAGAATTAATGCTCAGCACCAATTTCATTTCCACTAATCTGGTTTTTTTCCTCTTTCAGGATGAAGGTCAACCCACTGAGGTAAGATCACAACATCACCTGATAAGCTCCCTTGTGGGAGTCATTGTTCCTTGTCACAGAAGCAATGGTGTAGTGATAGTGTTAACCCAGACTAGGCTAACATTTGGGGACCCAGGTTGAAATCCCACTGGCAAATGTTGGATTTTAATTCTAGACTTGGTGAAGCCAAAGTCTAATGACCACAAAACCATCTCCTTCACATTTCCCGTTGAAGGAAATGGGTTGTTTACACCTGGCTCCAGATCCACCATGAGTGACTCTTCCCAGCCTTCTGAGCAGCTGGGAAAGGCTAATGTTGGCCTACTTAGCAAGGCTTGTGTCTCATTAGGCCATGTCTAGCTGCTGCCTGGGTGATCACTCACTGCTACAAGCCTAAGTTGGAAGCTGAGTGAAGGCTTATCCCACATTCAGGGATGGGTTGATCTAATGTGATTCTACATGGGAATTCCGTAATGTCTCCCAGATCATGAATTGCTGTCTTTTTTCTAGAACTTGCTACATAACCTGGAGCCTGTATCTAACTGTTGTTCCTTGTTTCACTCAGAATGGTAGCCTACTACTGACCTTTGATGACCAGGTTTCTCAACCTAAAAATGTAAGTTTTTAAGCTTTAGCAAAACTATATAGATGCTGCCAAGTTCAGTGACCCTGGAACCAATATACTTGCGGTCAATGTAATTCAAATCTGGTCTTTGTTCAATGGCAACTACATGGATGGTAAGGATATCAAGGGTGGGGCCCCTCAGTGCCTAGTAACTTAAGCTGGGCATCCTTTACCAGAAGGGTCTCACTAGTGCAGCCCTTCTGTCATTAGAGACATTACTTGGTTTCCTCCAATACTGGTATGTATTTTGCAGCTCCAAATGCCCCATACACCTTCATTCAGTCACTATCTTGCTCCTACAATAGCAGAAGTAGGCTATTAAGTATATTCCAAGCTGAGCTTGTAGCAAGGGAATAAAAGGTCCCAGGAAAAGAGTGATAATCTTAAATCACTTGGATTTGAGTTTCTACACTCTCAGGACTGGTCTCATTTAGACCAGTGGAGTTTTAAACTAAGGGGCCAGATCCTTGGGCAAGTCAAGAGGGTGGTATCTTTATGGTAGTCTGAGCTGGTACATGAATCAGTCTGTACTACAAACCCAATGTTCTCTCCCATGGGCTGAAAGACCTACCTCTACTTGTCTTGCCTTTTGTGGCCTGCTGGGATTAATCCATCTTGGCTCTTAAAGATCAGCCAGATGAGCACCAACTGGGATCACTACACTATTAGTGCAGTTGGGTGGATATGGTACAGCCTGTTTGCTGCTATTGGCATGTTCAACTCCTGAGATCCCAGTGAAACAACCTTTGTTGCACAAGTTCTAACCACAAGCATTTTGAGATGGTGTATTGTCCAGGGCACATCAGCTCTTTAGCTGATACCGCTTCCTTCCCCCCAACCCCCTTGAAGGAAAGATCTGTACTTCTTGCTCTCAGTTGAACCATAATGATTCCAGAAGAGGCTATAATGTTGAATGCTCCCACAAACTTAACCCAGTCCAGGCATCCACTAACATGTTAGCATTAAAGTTGGATGACAGTGTCATTCCTGAGGTTGGCTCAAATCTACCCTTTTGAATACTTTTTCTAACTTGACATCTTTGCAACAATTCTCCTTATTTTTAAACAGGATATTGACCAGATGCAGCTGTTTGGAGACATGTCAACACCACCTGATGTCTCTTCCCCAGTGGTAAGAGTACAGTCGGTTTTTAGTGGATCTTTGTCTGCTTCATGGTCTCAGAATTGAAATGTACCTTACTGAGCTGTTAATCTGTTAAATGTACAAAGCAAAATTGAAAGTCATTAAACTGAACTCTTTCAGTGATGGGGAAGATGGAAGAGTGGATTTGGGTCCCTGACATCTCCAATGCCCCCTGGTGAGGTAGCATTACACCAATACTTTCTCAAATGGAAAATGTTGGTAGAACTTGTGGGGAGATCCTTAAACATTCTAACTTCCCATGCAAGTAGAAGGCCAGCAGCTCTGTTCTGACCCCCTCAACTGGCCACTTTGGCTTAACTTTCTCACCCTGCAGCATTGTTGGATTACATCAAACAGTACTTCTCAGTGAGGCCTTTGCTCAAAGGTTAGTGACTGTTTTAAAGTAGGGATATTTAAGCTTTGTATTGGCACTGTCACCAAACATGGGTTGGCTTTTACCCAACCCAACTTGTGGGAATTGCTAAATCATTAATTGGAGGAATGATTTCCCTGTTTTGGTTCAGTCTGTGCTTGCTTCATGTGATCTAAAGCAACAAAACCTGTCTGTAAATGTTGCATCAAGGTCCCCCCACAATCTACAAGGCTTGCTGACTCAAACCCTGAAATTCCCTAAGGCCACTGAGTCAACCTACAGTGTAGGGCTGCAGCAACTCCAAGGTAGTGAGCTGACCTAATGGCAAGCAATAAATGCTAGTGACAGGGTTGAGATGTGAGCACAAACCAGTCTGCCAGTATCTATTAGAAACAGGGAAAGGGTTTTCCTTTCTACATTGTAGATTAAGAGGGAATTTCCTACATTGCCCTGATTGGTTTTTTCAATGATTAAGCTTTTTATACTCATGTTGGTTGGATGATAAATCTTATTTTCTATCAATGATTAGGAAACAAATGGCTATTTGTTGGACTTTTCTTCCCCTGAAATGGATCCTTTGAACACCTGCATGAAAGACAATCTCCAGGAAGCGACTCCTGCTTCCTCACTTCAATTCTTCCCCACACCTGACCCCAATCCTTTTGGGAATGATCCTTTTTCTGAACTTAACCAATCAGCACCACCTCAGTTGGTTGATTCTGTAAAGCCTTCTGATCAGAAAGATGGAGTTCCTCCTTTCCTATCCAGTCAGAGTGGAGATCACCTGGGCCATGACTTTGACCAGCTCTCTAGCCAGGTTGTCACCAGTCTGAAAGTTGATATTCCACCCAGGGGACTGAATGGAGCTGTGGGGCATGACCAAGTTGAATTGGCTAGCAAACCAACCACTGACCCCTTCGCTGAGATCTCAGGGGCTGCACCTCCAGCACAGAATGGGTTAAAACCAGACTCCCTAGCTTCTGCAAACAACAAGCAAGTGGACTCCCTCCTGATGCAGAGCTTTGATGTGACTCTGTCCCCTCCACCAAGCACAAAAGGAGCCCGTGGCAGGCGGAACAATCAGGTGACCAGCACCATTCCCTCTAACAAGCTTTTAAACTTGCTAACCCTTCTAATGCTGAACATCTAGATCCCAGTTTAAGGTTTGGGGATCCTCTTTCTACTCAGCTTTTCCAAACTAACAGCACCAGACAGTGGTTGGCATGTTCTCTACTAACCATTTGCTATTCTGTCCCAGATTTCCACTGTAGCTTGGATCCTCCTAGCTTTTGGGAGACCCATTGTTGAATCCTCCATCCAGCATGAGGTGGAGCTTCAACTGTTAATGGAGAATGTAGATTGAAGCCATATCAACTCAACCAGGCCCAATTACTGGCACTGAGGAGCCAGTAATTGCTGTGACTGCTTATCAGGTGGCTTTGATGTTTGGAATAAACTTTGCTTTTTCTCCTTAGCTGGCAGGTGAGAATTTTGGATCCAGCCCACTTGTTTCAAGTGCTCCATCTCCAACCCAGATTCCTCTAGATCTGTTCAGTGTACCAAGCACCTCATCACTGGTCAGCCCAGGTAACTCCTTTCTAGAACTGAGCCATAATGTTAACAAAACGGAGTTAAACTAGAGAGCTTGTTTCAGTCAGTATACTTGTAAAATACTGATCATCAACTCTATTGTAGTCCATTCATAAACAAGTTACTGTTCTCAATGCTGTTTGTTTGCATGTCAGTTGTGCTTTAGACCCTTCAGCCCATCTATTCTAATTCCACTTTCTAGCACTCAGCCTGTAGACTTGTATTCTGTGGTGCTTGATGTGCCACCTGAACACTAAAACATTGAGGGCTCTGCCTCTTCCACTTTCAAGCAGTTCCAGATACCACCCCACCCCAATAGAAACTCTCCAGTTCCCCCTCCAACTTGTGCAGATCACAAATCCATGCTCTTCTAGGGAAAATGCTTCCTATGCTCAATTATTTGTATACATTCTATCACTTAGGCTGGCTGTTTATCTAACTCTTCCACAACTGAGCCTGCCAGCCCAGGCAACATCCTGGTGAACATCCCCTGGATACCCTTATTGTACAGTTTTTTGGTCTCCATCTGACTCCCTTGTATGAAGGAATGCCATGCAGACTTACCAGATGGAGTCCTGACATGACAACTGTCTTTTGACAAGAGCTGCAGAAGCTGGAAATCTCCACTACTAGCCCAACTCTGCTTCCTGTTTTCCCCCCAGTTAGCTCTGGCAGCATCACTTAAGCCCAGTGACTCTTTGGAATGCACTTGGATTTAAAAGAATGAGGTGATCCTGTAGAAATATTAATAGGTTAGACAGTAAATGCAGGAAAGGGGTTTCCAGTGGCTTGGGCTCCCAATCTGCTCAAGACTACAGGGTAGGCCATTTAGAATCTCAGAATTTTAGCAGCCCTACAGCATTGTGGGTCAATTATCCCAACCAAGTAGAATATAGCAGCTGAGGACATGCAGCAAATACTGGCCTAGCCAGCGACACCACCCACTTTCCACAAATGAAAGTGTTACTGTATATAGTTGAGCTAAGCACTTCCTCTTGGATCCAGATTGTCCAGCATTACTTGACAACTTTGAGCAGCTATTTCAGTATCAACAAAATGAAACTTGTATCCCTCTTTCTTTCTAGGCTTATCTGGACCCTCTCCTGCTGGACCTTATGTGACACCATGGGGACAGCAACCTCCAGTACTTTCTCAACCAGGCTCCATGCCTCCAAGGCCCATTCTTGGTCCACAGACTCCCTTTGGACAGCCCAATGTCTTTGGTCAACCTGGTGCAGTCTGGAGCCAGCCAGCTCCATTTGGAGCTGCACCTTCACCTGCCACTTGGGGGCAGCATACTATGGCCCCACCCAGTGTTTGGGGTCAGCCTGTTCCACAGGCTAACCCTTTTGCAGCTTCCCACCTTCCTATGGTGCCACCCATTGCAGGTCTGACCCCTTCTGCTGGGGCCTCAGTGACCCCACCACCCCCACCACCAAGACCCAGCCCACAAGAAACCAAGCCCCAGAGCAATGCCTTCACTGCCTTGGACCCCCTGGGAGACAAGGAGAAGAAAAGTGTCAAGGAGCTGTTTAAAGACTTCCAGATGGCCAAGCCCCCAGCTATTCCTGCTCGTAAGAGTGAGCCATCAGCTGTTACTGGGGCATCTGGAGCATTTGGCCAATACTTCACCAGCAAAGTTGGTGTTGCCCAAGAAACTGCTGACCATGATGACTTTGACATCCATCAACTCTCTCCTACAACATCAAATGGTAACTTTTTGTTGTATTGCAGGTAAATCTAGGGTGTACAACTTGGTCCATTTAACTCTGTTCCAATAGTTCACCCATGTAGATAAGGCAAGTGAAACTGGTAAATACAAGCTGACATGGGCTTATTCTCCCCTCTAATATACTGCTACATATTACTGCTCTAGTGTGCAGCTCCCAGAAATGGTGTGATTCTGTCCCAGTAACTAGTCTTTCTAGTGGAGTTGCCATGAGGGACAGGGATGAGCTGCTGGAGGGATAAGAACTGTTCCAGCTGAAGTTATGGGGAGCAAAAGATGGGAAGATTCTAGTCCACTACAATCTCATGGAATGACAGATCAGAAGCAGGACATAGACTGTACTCCATCTTGTGGTGATGACTGCAAGAAAGGAGTAGGAGGTAAATGGTGCAGATTAGGATGGTAGCTGGACCTCTGACATGGTTTGGGAGGTGGGGTGGGGCAGTGGAATGGCTTCAATCCTGAAGTTCCTCAAGATCAGGAGGTGCAGTTACTGACTGTATAGTTGAATTGAGATTGAAACTAGTTCCCTTCCTGGTGAGGAAAGTTTCCATGTGCCTTGTGAATCTACCTAAACCTGGACTGACTTCAAAGCCACTAATTGGTTTTTTTGTTTCTCTAGAAGCCCCAACAGCACCTCCTAGCCAGAGTCCAACACAGAATCCCTTTGATACAAGTGGTGACTTGCTTGCTGCTCCAGCACCAGTGAGTACAAACTCAGCACCGTAGCTTGAAATAAGAATTGGTAACATGTCACTTGCAGTGACAACATGCCAAAGGGCACCCCTTGGCCTGTAAAGGCAGTCTCTGCTGTTTGGACTGAACAATTTCTTGAATGGTTGGATGGCCACAATCTCTCAGACTGTTAAAGCCCTGACTACTCCAGTCTGTGCAGTCAACTGAATTGTAAACCCCACTTTTCCTAATTACTGACCTGAATACTTCAAACAGCCCTGAGGTCAGCACAAAAGGCTGCCTACTTCATCCTGCTGCTGAACCCTATGATCCCCATTGCATCTGGCCTGCCTGCATCCTGTACTTCTCATTTCTGGCTCCCAGTCTGGCAGTATCTTTCTAATTCTACCTATTCTCTACTCCTGTTTTTCTTGTTCTTATCCACATACCACCGCTCTTAAGGTCTCTAATTCTAGTCTCATGTGGATGCATGACAAGTCCATGTTAGCAATGTCTCTGCCTCCATTGCAAGCTTGCTGCCTCCTTTTGTGCCCACCTCTCCCTAATGGAGGCTAGAAGCACCCAGATGAAAGGCAGCAGAGAATTTTTGTCCCTGCTGCCTGTGGACATTGTGTATGAAATACTCACCAGTTCTTGCTTAATGCAGTAACTTGTTCTCCAAGAATAACATTACCTGAGCAGTCTATGGTCACCTTCATAGAACATTAACTCTCTAGACTAAACGAAGCTCCCTTGGTATATATCATTCCCAGGACAGGGTTAAGGTGAACTAACCCCCCCCAAACACTGCCCCTAAGGCATCACACATACCAGATCTACTACAACCACAAAATGTACAATTGTACAGCACAGGACGCCATGCAGCCTATCTAAGCTGTGCTGGTGTTACAAGCAATTGGCCCCTATTTTAATACCAAAATCATTAGTACATGCTGCACCTCCACTGAATCAGCTAATCCATAACTTTGGGTCATAATTTCAACATGAACACAAACCTTGGGCCTGCTAGTCTAGCTTCACTGTTCTAAACAATCAACACTAATGCTGGTTGGATTTGGTTTTCTCTATAACTATAAACTACTTTTTTTAGGCTGTTCCTGCTCAATCTCTCCCATTTGGAGATCCCTTTGGAAATCCATTTGTATAACATTCTCTACATGGTCTGTAAGTAAGTATATCTAATTTGATTTGCAACATTGTCACTTTGACTACTTCAATCAAATCCTTCAATCATTTTCAAACCTAGAAAAGTGTTGGTGTAGACCACTTTAGCCCTTTGAGCCTGTTCCACTATTCCATATCACTGCTGATCATCCAGCTCAGTCTCATTGTTTCTGCTTTCTCCATACCCTTTTTTTGATCCCTCTGGCCTAGCTCAAGGTATCTACAGATAAAGACTGTACCTTGCCTGTTCATGTGTTGGCAGAGGGAATTTATCTAGAATGGCATCATTACCACAGGCCTGGTGGACTGAAGGGCCTGTTCCTGTGCTGTATTTAAATGTTGACTGTTTAGTCCTTGACCACTTTGAGCCTGTGGAATTCTGCTACACTCCTGAGGAATGGCCTAACCAGCCTATAAGAACCAGGGGTCTTCATCCAATAGTCCCAGTGAGACCAGAAATAATGCAATAACTGATGTTTCTCAATAAATGCAGTCTGGATATTCCAAGTAACATTGGAATTTTTCACTAAGTCAGAATACTTGTTCAGGAAAGCTATTCTGTTTTGGCTGTACGCTGCCTAATGTCTCAGTTTCAGCACTGCCAGAAAACCTCCCTCTCAATTCTTTGTCATCCATGGTGACACTGCTAGTTGAACTGTAACTGGGTTGGAAGTGATTCCATTTCTTGTCATCTGTAAAGACTGATCAAATTCTTCAATCTAAAGCTTCTGTTCAGAGTTAAAAGCTGGATCTCTTTACATACTGCTGGGCTGGATGGTTGAGAAACTAATCCACTGTCTCTCTCTCCTCAGTCATATCAGACTTGGTGTTGACTTTCTCCATTATTACAGAATTAGTAATGTTGTACTTCATTGAAACTACATTGATCATGATCCAACCTGTTTACTTTAGCATGACTCATCAGTATCTAATGTTCACTTCCTTGAAACTGGTGCAATTAAAGACTTAGTCAAAGTTCCTGCCCACATTGAGGGCTTTCAGTATTCACTGAACAGGGGCTAGGAGATACAACCAGTGGTTGTGATTATTCTAACATGTCAAACCTTAACCTTGTGCTAACTTTTTTTTTCCTCTCCTCAGGCACCCCAAATTTGATCTTCCAGCTTTGACTACCAGCAATCTTTTGAACAGAACAGAAGGGTTAATGAGTCAGGTTTCCAAGAATTGCTTTGTGCCTCCTCACCTAAAGGTTTTCTGGCTTACTGTACATGCTTCCTTGTGACAAGGGAGCAAATGTCTTGTATGTGAAAGGCAGCTCTAATGATCTGTCATCCTGCTTTTTTAAGCCAGCAAATCCTTTTGAATCCAATCCTAGTGGATTGGAGGATAAGTTTTTTTTGGGCAGGGTTTAACTTTCTCACTGCTGTTGTAACGGTGATGTTGCATTCTTCCATCTCCAGGACCTGCTTGGTTTCTTTTGTAGGTGATGTCTGGTGATGGTCACTTTTTATACATCAGTGCCTTAATTGGTATCTGCCTTTCTAATCAAAGGAGGATTGTAACATGGGGTGAAGTCTTGACATTTAGAGTTAGACACTGGTTGGTTTGTTTCCTGGTTTTGTGACTATGCTAGTCAAATCTGATATGCATTAGATGCATCTTCAAATGTCATCCTAGAACTTCAGCACTTGGGGAAAACTGGAATATTTTTGGGAGCTCTGAAACCAAGAAATGCTAACTTTGCACATGTCTTTTTAAAGTTGAGTCTCTCTTTCAAATAGATTTGGTGTAATGAGGTCACTCTCTAACTGGTCTTTTGTACTAGTCTAAATTTGACTTGACTTCCCAATTGTGACCCTCAACTGGGATAAAACTCCAGCTCCCAAAATCCCCTACACCCAGCTGGAGTAATATGGTGCCATTTAAATAATGTTGTCAAGACACTTGTCCCCACTGGCCACTAATGTAGCATATTGCACTAAATATTTTAATGTTTTTATGGGTTACACCAAGACACTAACATGGTTTAGTCAGCTCCTGCAGTGTTTTCTAGTGGTGTTCTTGTAACTTTGTTCTGAAGCATACACCTCACCTGGCCAGTGCAGTGAAAGTGTTTGCCTTGTTCCTGAATACAGAATGTTCCAGTGTTTTAGGGCATACTGTCCTTTAAGACCACACCTCCCTGTTTGGACAAGTCCTCCTTTCTCTTATCCAATAAATCACAGCAAGAGGAGCATTGTAATAGCCACTGGGTCCTTTTTTAACCTGATCTCTCCAACCCCCAGTTTGTCCATCCAAATATCTAAAATGCAGTAGCTCAACTGGAAACTAAGTTGTAACTATTTTGAATGTAATGTCTGTACCATGGCCTTTTAATAAACAAATTAATGCATCATTCCAACTTGTCATCCAACTCTAATTGCCTGTTTTGGTCAGTTTGAACCAGAGTTTTGTGGGAGAGTTGAACACTAACATCTACACTGATCACTGGCAGAGGAGGCTTGAAGAGCTAAAAGGCTTGTCTATCAGCTGGAGTGAATATAGACTTTGCACAAAGGAACAAGTGGCACTGTCTGAAGCTGGCAATTGTCTCAAGGCTGATCCAAGAAAGTGACTAGAGCAGATGCCAAAACCTGATGTTCTGAAAGGGTAGTGAGTGTTCCAGAATTTTCTAGGTAAAGTTCCCAGTGGATTGGAGTCTGGCAAACACCACAAATCAATAACTTAGCCTGGCATGTGTTGTCCAAATCCACCTGGATAATGCATGTACATCAAGAAACATTTTGCCTTGGATTAATGTTTGAACACTAGCTGTTTGAGGCTGTAATTGGTAGAACTGACTAGAAAGCTTAGCCACTTTCTTCAAGTACCCCAGAAGCTCAATGGTGGGAGAATCTGTCTACACCATCTGAGCATCCCACAACCCCCCCACCCTGCACTTCCCATGGCCAATCCACCACTTAGTCTCTACATCTCCTCTAGACTGTAGCAGGAAGCCAGTTCCCCTGGAGGAAACACTTCAGACATGGGGAGAAAGGAAAGCTTGCACAGTCTCCTGAGGCTGGAATCAACTGGGTCTGTGATGCTATGAGGCAACAGTGCTACCAACTTTTTTAGTCCAGTTATGAAATGTTGCTGAGGGCCAGGAGTGGAGTAGGGTAAACCTGAATTTAGGCTGGCAGACCATTACTGGACTGTTCCCAGGATCAGTAAGGTGTAGGCCCTCCCACTGTCCCTCTCTGATTTTGAAACTAGCTGGGCATGATGCAGGCTGCCAGGTGGTGGCTAGTGGAGTAAGATGCTGGGGAGTTAACTTTCATCCTACCAAGATGAGAATAGAGTAAGATGGCAGTGCTAAATGAACAGAGGGGCATGATGGCTGTTAAACTCACTCGTGCATCCTCCAGTTAGGGCAAACAACTGCTATCCTTCAGGACCTGGGTTCCATAAGGATAGGTCTTTTGAAGCTAAGACTTGGTGTTAGTATCATAACAGCATACCTGCCTTTCACTGAGTAATGGGAATTGCCCCAATTGAAGGCCTGGTGCACTTCCTTATCCCCCTTCAGAGAAAGGAGATTTTAGTCTCCATTACTGCACCCAACTTCTGAAGTAAACCTGACAGTTTGGAGGATGAAAGGCCAATCAGGACAGCAGTGCTAACCAACAAGCCATGTACTACCAGGGACCCAGGTTCAATTCCACCCTCTGGCAATTGTCTGTGGAGTTGATACATGTTCCTTGTGTCTATGGGTTTCCTCCCACAGTCCAAAAATGTGTAGGTTAGTTGGATTGCCCATGGGAAACTGCCTGTAGTGTGGGTGTGTAGACTGGGTCCTCCATGGGAAATGGAGGGTTACAGGAACAGGGTGGCAGAATCAGCATGGGATGCTCTTTTGGAGGGTTGGTGTGGACTTGATGGGCCAAATGGCCTGCTTCCACCCTGTCAGGATTCTGGGTTTTTGTGTAGAATAGAATTTTGCCAACTCAGCCCTTAGTATTCTCAGTGGATGCCCAACTGTGCCTCAGTTTGAGGAGGCTGCCTTTAGAGCAGAAGTAAAATCCCACAAGTGGCTGGAAAAGCTTGCCAGGTCTGGTGGTATCTGAAAGGGGGGAAAAAAATCAGTTAAGGTTTAGGTCTGACTTTTTTAAACTGAAGGTTTGATTGGGCTTCTACCTTGTTTTGCTGTCCTGTTTTGACAGGAAGAATGAAGTGATTAGATCTAAAATGCAGGATCAAAGACGGTGCATTTTATGCACCACCAACTATTGCAGATCAAACGGAGTGGTTCCAAAAGGCTAACAGACTAAGGCTAACAGACTTCCAGTTTTAAACCAAGGGATGAGCCCTATGAAAAATATTGTGGCTTTGAACAATTTAAGGTTAGATACAAAATTGAATTACAGGCTAGGTGATTTGGCCATAAGTTTTGACTCTTAACTGCCATTCTTTAACCAGGTTCTAACAATTTTTGTTTACCATTGATCAGAAACTGAACTCAGTTACAAAAGCAGATCAGAGCCTAGAAATACTGACTCCCCTAGGCCTGGCCACTATCAACAAGACACATCAGTGTGATGGCATACTCTCCACTTGCCTGGATAGGTACAGCTCCAATAACAAGCTGCTTGATTGGTACCACCACATCCATAAACATCCACTCCTCCACCACAAATGGCAGCAATGTGCACTAATCACAAGATGCATTACAGAAATTCAGTAAAGGTTCTCTTGACAGCCCCTTTGGCATATGCACCCCAATACCATCTGTACAACAAGGTGCAGGGCTGGATGAACACAGCAGGCC